AGGCGGACCCGCACCTAGCGGACCCGCACCTAGGCGGACCCGCACCTAGCGTACCCGCACCTAGCGTACCCGCACCTAGGCGGACCCGCACCTAGGCGGACCCGCAAGTGTGTCTCAGGCCTGCAGAGCCCGGCGTGGTGGGGAACTAGGGCGGCTCATCTGAAACGGGCAGCCCAAGGCAGATGGGAGCCGACGCCTCGCCAGTCAAGGAGAGGGCACGCCCCGCTGCGCCCAGCGCCTCCTTCCGGAAGACGCACGTTTAAAGAGAAACGCAGGCCGCCAGGGTCTTCTGCTACGGAAATAATTCTCGCGAAGGTCCGCTTGCATTTATTTCAAAGTGCAACAAACTAAGCAAGCTAAAAACTTAAATTTCTCCTCATCAACAAACGTACCCAATGGGAGGAAGTCTCGGCAAGACCGCAAAGGGCCTGGGCCTCTGGGCACCCAGCGGGGGCCGGGGGCCAGTCCAGGGCCCTCGCTCCACTGGGTGGGGCGGAGCCGGCGCCGGCTGCGGTTTGCTGAGAGTCCACGGAAGGCCAGGTTTGCCGGGAGGCAGGACAGTGACCCTGCCCTTGGTGCCCACACTGTGAGCTAACGAAGCATCACTCCTCCCGTGACAGCTCGCCTGAGTGTCCACAGGGCCAGCCTGTCCTCGCACCTGCGTTCACCGAGTCACCCACAGAAAGCGAAGTGACACCATTTTATCTTCCATCACAAGCGTAACACACTAGCCCTGCCTCTGCACAGGACCTTCAGAAAAGCCCCTCCAAGCCGTCAAACACCAAACACACACGCAGTCACCCCATTCCTCCCCACCCTTGGGATACCATTAATTCCTTCAGTTTCCTTGCCCCCTCTTTTCTAACCTCTCTGAATTGTCCTCTGCTCCCTCCCACTCAGAGGGGTCCCCTATGCAGGCCGAGAACAAGTTCATCACTGGCCTCCCGATCGCTTAGGCTCCCGATTTGCTCAGTCTATCATCTGCCCTCTCCTTGGAGACAGCAGAAAGAAAAGAGGCTGAAGGCTGAAATACCTACTTTATAAAACAAAGTCCTCCTGATCTTGAAGCCCACTCCTTCCCCGACTCGCTCTCGTCTCACTTCTTCCACGCATCACCAGACTCATTAGCGTTCAGCTTCTGCTTCCTCGCCATCTTCACCAAGCACCTATTCCTGAGCCGTCCACCATTTGACTGTGACTACAAGTTCACACCTGAACAACTCATCCCTGTAACAGTGGCCAGGCGTAACAAATGACTCTGACTCTGATGTATAAAGGACAGAGACAGCATAAACGTTAGGGTGCAAACTCTGGCTGACAACCTATCAGCTGTGGCCCTGGTCTGAGGCGGGTGGCGAGCTGGGAATAGACTTCACATTTCATTCATGCTCCAAGGCGCCATTTTAGGTCACTATATACGTGCCTGTCTACCAGGAACAAGCTTGATTTAAAATGTTAAAACTTCAAAGCATTCTAAGAATCAAAGAAAGATTTTATGTTTTCTATTTAGAGTCTAAGCTTGCTTTCTTTGGCCAAGCAGCTTTGTAGTAGTTGAATTCCAAGTCACTAATTTATTCAAATTTTACCAGTGGCTCGAATATTCCAGAGTTATTTATGTCTGACGAGTGGGAATTGCCGAAACAAGGACAGGGAAAGGAAGCATAGGAAAACCGAGTCGAAAGAAAAGCCAAGTGGCTCCTGGCGAGGGGCCAGCAGGAATGGACACCGCCCCACGACCAGGCGCTGTGCCACGCACCAGTCATGCTCGGGCACTCACCTTCGGAGGCTCTCCTTCTTCTCCTCACGTGATAAACAGCTGTCTAGATGCTTATTGATGTGGTTTTCTGGAATACTAACTCCACAAACAGGACAATCCACTGTCATTTTCAAAAAGAGAAAAAGACTTAATTTGAAGAAAAGGCAGTAATGATGCATCATGTTAGCAATGAAGATACACGGCAGAAGCCCAGCCTTGCCCCTCGAAAGGCAGGCGGGAGGAGGATGAAACCACGCTGTGGCTCGTCACACCACTGGAAGCCTGCACCCGAAGGAAGGCTGCAGAGAGTCTGGAAAGCCATCTCCCAGAAAGTGCTTTGGCTCAGTCTTTTCTATCAAGATGTGACCAAACGAGTAAACTAATTTTTATGTCCCCACGTCCTAAGAGTCGCCCACACTGAACAGCGCGGGCCAAACACCTCCTGCCGTCTGACAAGGTCCGAGTATTAGGGTGGCCCCTGAAAAGTCAGGGGCCCCGAAGCGGGCTCCTGCTGGATCTCTGCTTTGTTCTGGCCACTCCTGTAATTGTAACCATTTAGCCCTGGATGCATTTGATGAAGTCAAAACTGATTTTATATTTGGCTGTTTTAATAAAAGCAATTGCTATTACTGTAAAGTTAACATAGCAAGACAAGACAGTGCTAATGACATGTTATAAAAACAGCCAGAGCCTTTTTTCCTGCCGGAACCAATAATTCAAATTCCATCATTCCACTATCTTCCAGACATGCACACTAAATTAAGCTCGGGAGAAAACAAAAAAAAACTTTGGGAAGCAGAAAGCTTAAGCCTCTGTTGTCCAGCCTTCAACGAGAAACTTTACTCTCTTTTAGTAATAGAACTGAGTAAAGTGAACTTTTTCATTCCTTACCCTGGCCTTGCTTTGATCTTTTTAGGATACTTTAATGAGAAAGAGAACTAGAAATAAAAAAAGCTTTCTTTTTTTTCCTTTTTGCGTTGCTAATTTTCCACTATAATACAACAGAAATGTTAGCTTGTAACTATATGAATTCACAAGCCTGCTTTATTGTTAATAAACTGCTGGTCCAGCTGTAAAAGAAAATAATCATAATAAGAACATTTTGCTCGTTAGCTGTGTCATTCCAAAAAATGATAAATGATACAATCTTGGCTAAAGGTCAAAGACCTCAAACTGTTCTTGGGCAAAATGCACTAGTTGTTATTATTTTTTTGCTCAATGCACATGCTGATGTGATCCCACCGTTTGCTAACATACAATAAAGACCCAATGCTGTCCCCTCCTACAGGACCCGTAAGCCCGACTGCCAGCTGAGCCCCACCAGTCGCAAGTGAAACATGCCAGGCGGGGGGGGTTCAGGGTGCCAGATGAAAGTGTTTATCCGCTGGGGCCAACGCCCGTGCAGTTTACCAGTGAACCGGCGGCCCCGCACTAACTTAACTCCACTGCGGTGAAGCGTGCCGCGGGCGACGCCGCGCGCCTGGCTCGAGGCCCTCTGAAGGTGACTGGTCGAAAAGAACAAGACAAAAGGCTAAGCCGAGGTACTTACCAGAAGCCGAGCAAACTGTGCTAAAATACCATGAAGCGGAGTTAGATGCCAACACCAAAGTACTCAAAGCAAGTTTAAGGTCTGGATATTCTAGAAAGGTATGAGCCTGAGGCGAGAGGGCCCTGCCACTGGAGGCAGACACGGGGCTGTGCTGGGTCACCCAGCTGTTTCCAAGTGGGATCAGACCTGCAAGGGGCAGGCGCCCGCCTGCTCGGGGGTGTTCGCGGACGGCGGGGGGCACTGCCTGGCTGGAACGCAAGGACTTTTGACAGGCAGAGGAGAGGAAAAACCGGGATGGGGATCAATTCATCAAGGGCTTCAAACATGACAGAAGAGCGGGGAAGTGTTTAAGTGCAGGCACACAAAACTGGTAGCCCGTAAGTTTTTTTTTTCAGGTTTAAAAAGAGAGTTTTTAAGATTAACCTGGATCTGACATGGAGAAAACCAACAGCTCTAAAACAGAAAGCTCCCACTACAGACTGGGCGCGCTAAAACTGCTCGCCCTGCAGCACACCGCCTGCACACCTCTCTGGGCGGCCGCAGGGCTCCGGGGAAGCTCCCAGACTGCCGCTGGCCCGCTCCTTCCCTCATCGGCTGCCTCTCAACCCTCCAGTCGCGTGGGGGGAGGAGACCCGCACGCAGGCCGTGCACGCTGAGGGCATCTCCTACCTCGGGCAACCGGCTTCATGGCCGACGTGGAGGGGGCCTCGGGGGCAGCGGCCTGCTTCAAGCCAGGCGACCCCGTGGTGTCGGCAGACGCGCTCGTCTCTTTCTGAGGGCGGAACTTGCTTTCGTTCTCTTTACTCAGCAACGCTGATGTGGAGCCAGCAGGTTCTCTGATCAAGAAGTTCTCCATGAAGCTGCTCCCCTGCTTCGAAGAGGGTCTGCGGGCCGCCGGCGCCTGCGCTCTGGCAGCGGGGCCACCTGAGGAGGCGGCGGCAGGGGGAGACACGGGCGGCGACTCGAAGGCCAGCTGCAGCAGATGGCTCCTGGAAGCAGGACACCAGGGCGGTCAAGGAGCCGAGCTGCAGAGCGAGCCACTGGCGCCGGCCGCCCTGCTCGTGAGCACCTGCTCCTGTGGCGTGCAGAAGCTGGCGCACACGACAACCGGACCGCAAGCTTCCTCCAGGCTAAGGCAACGCAGTAGCCCTGACTGAAGAGCAGTGCTCCGACCGGCAAGAAGACAGCCGGACGTCCGCCGCGGAGAACAGCGGCGCAGAATCTGGGCGGGCGCAAGGCAGCGGAAGGCACGGCCTCTGGCCTCCGAGGCCGCAGCCCGAGGGGCAGGGACGCGCGGCCCTCCATGTCTCCCAGGTCTTCCCTCGATCTGGGCATCGAACCGAAGCCGAAACCAGGGCCAGGATGCTCCCCGCAAGGAGGGGGGTCAGAGATCAGCGGGGGGCCCTGGGGGTAGGACAGGGCCGGAGGGCTGGCTGAGCCGGGCAGTCACGGAAAGGGAACCTGGGAAGGCTGTGTACAACGCCTGTCAACAGATCACCTCCGGGGGCGAGAACAAGATGGAAATCAGGCAGCAGGGTGTGGCGGAAGCTGGACCGCATCGGAGCCGAAGCCCAGAGAGCCTGCTGACGAGCCTGGGCGTGAGGAGGACCCCCACGGTCACACCTCAGGAAGAAGGACCACGCTGGAGTATGAACAAAACTGAATAGACCAAACCTAAGAAGACAGTCAAGCAAAGTGCTGATGATTTCACGACCTGTAGAATAAGCCAACATTGTTGCAATGGAAGAGGGTTCACGGACCCAGCAATGTTTTGTTCATGACGCTCGCACACCGTAAATCACCACATAGTAAGCAAAGAGGCAGCTGCTCGTCAAGACACAAAGCCAGCCAATGGACACAGACCCGGGCCGAGGGCGGCCCAGAAAATGGGGCCTCGGGGCAGCTGTCCTAGGGATGCTGAAGAAAGAAGGAGAAAACACAAATGAACAGTGAAGCGTAACATGGAATTAAGATGCGTCCCCCAGAGGGTAGAGCAGCAGCAAAGCTCAGCCAGGACAGTCCAGCTGCTGCCCGCTGAGAGGCCAAGAGTCTCCCCGCACGCACATGCTCGCCACCCCCGGCCGGCTGCACAGGGCACCGGGTCAGCCCCTGCTGCAGGCACTGCTCGACCACCCACCCAGCCGAGGGAGCCGTACCCAGATGGCAGCAAGGGCCCCCCCCCGGGGGGGGGCAGGTAAAGAGATGGCAAAATCCCCCAGACAAGAGACGCGCTCTGAGCAAACATGACCAAGGCCTGCTCAGAGCCCCGCGCCAGCTCACAGCAGGACGGGAACCAACAGAAAAAAAGCGGAACTCTGTTCCCATGAAAATATTCTTCCCAAATGAAAGCAAAGCAAAGACCCCCTCTGGCACACAGAAGCTGCGAGGACTCCTTACCAGCGGGCCAGGGGCCACGGAACATTCTTCAGCACGGTGGGCCCACACAGAAGCACAGAAATGCAGCAAAAATCCCCACTTCAGAAAAAGCGAGTGAACGGGTCAATGCACGGCCCTGGCGGCGCACTCCACCCCGACATCACCAGCGGTGGCTCGTGGGAGCCATAACGCACTGGAAAGCAAACGGTCTCTCACACCACGGAAAGGAAGGGGGCGAAATAGTGGGGTGCCAAAAACCCAAAAAGGGCAGGGACAGTAATATTTCTATTAAAAAAAGAACAAACGGACAAAGAGAAAAGGGATAAAGTCACATGACAGTGATGGATAATGCACAAAAGTTCATTCAAATGCAATGAAAACCTGCAGCCTGAAAATCCGAAGGCAAGGCAGGGCACTCGCCGGCCACGCTGAGGACCTGTGGTCAGTCCCCGAGGCAGGGACACACACGGACTGTCGCAGGCGCCAGCACAGGAAAGGGACCCTCGCCACAGCTGGACGACCCACTGAAGGGGAGGGGTGTTTGCAAACATATACCCACGGAGGAATTAACATCAAAGTCTGTGAGCCACAACTCGCACCACTCAACAAGGAAGCAGCCAACAGCGTGATCAAAGCCTGGGCCGAGGGGCCAGACAGACCTTTCCCCAAAGAAGACAAACATGTGGCCACCAGACGCAGGAAAAATGTTCCTCGCTTACGTCAGGGAAGTGCAATGGCAGTTCACCGCACCCCAGTCCTCAGGAAGACCAAAAGCAACGCGCGCTGGCAAGGTGTGGAGCAAAGCAAGGCCGTACTCTCTGCGCAGGAATGAAAGCAGGTGCCACAGAGAGGTCTTTCTGAAAACTGAAAATAGAAGGCTGCTTGCACAGCAGAATATTTATCTGAAAGGCACCAAAACACGCCATTAGAAAGACGCCCATAATTTCACTAGCACGTTACTCACAACAGCCAAGATGTGGAAAGCAGGTAAGTGGCCATCAAAGACGGACAGAGGACTGAGAAAGGTGAAGTTCTGTCATCTGCAGCAACTAGGTGGCCTTGAACTACGTGTGGGGAAGTAAGTCTGGCGAAGGGCGCGCCGCAGGACGCACTTCCATGTGAAAGGAAGAGAAACACAGCCAACGAAACCCCCGAGATTCGGGTAACAGAACAGTGGCCCCCAGCAGGAGGGGCGGAGGCAGGAGCACAGGGGTGCGGGGACCCTGCGTGGCGGTGAATGGGAGCCACAGGGCAGCTGCTGCGACAGGGGCGGAGACTCGGCCGCACACGGAAACTGGCTCGGTGACAACCACCACAACCTCAGTTAACAACTAAAAAAGTAAGTCAATGTAATGGACACGCCCTGCAATGAAGAGGGACCCCCATCCTGGTTAAAACTCAAAATGCAACTGCACGCTGTTTCTGAACGATGGCGCTTACCGGTGTCTTAACCTCTGGGGCTGGCTCGTTATTGAGTGACAGGAGTCCACGCGGTCAGAGATACACGCGGTCACTTCAGCCCCTGGGAATCTGCGGAGACTTACTCTGTGGGCCCAAACATGGTCTCCGGGGCAACCTGGCTCCTCAGACAGCGTGTGCACTCAGCAAGTGCCAGCTCAATGCGTTTCATTAGGAAATCACATCGATTTGAATATTCTCCTCTAGCCCTCTGGCTTCTTGCTCTTTCTCCCCCACCACCATCCCTATTCGCCCTTTCTCCCTGCCCCTCCCCCTTAAAAAGCTTCCATTTGTTTATTAGTGTCCATTAGTTTTCCTAAGTATTTATTTCACTTTGTGCCATTCTGACTAGTCTTCAACACAAAATTTGACTTCATTCACTTTGCTGTAAATAGAAAAATTTTCTATGTGAATGACAAAAAAAAAAAAATCCCCTTAAAATAAGCACCATTTGGGCCCTCCCTGGTGGCGCAGCGGGTTAAAGCACAGCACTGAGAATCTGAAGCCACTTCCGCATGAGTTCGATTCCCGCCTGCCGCCTGCCCCGAAGGAGACCACATGGCGAGCCAGACCTCTCCTGGCCCGCCCGCTGCTTCCCTTAGCAGTGTACTTCGTAGATCTGCCTATTCTGCTCCTCATTCTGTCTCTGGTGAAGCCTCTCACCGCCCCTGAGCCTCTGGCCTGTACCCCAGTTCTGTATGCACAAATAAATAAAAAAAAAAAAAATAAGCACCATTTGAAATACCATCAAAAATATTAAATTTATAGGAATCAGTTGAACAAAACTGTGCAAAATTTGTATCTTGAAAGCTATAAACATGGCTGAGGGAAGTGCACTGAGCCGGACATAAGTCTGTGTGCTGGGTCCAGAGGACGAAGGCCAAGTCGGCTCCCCACGCTGACTGGTGGCTGCCCGTAGCCCAAGCAAACGCAAGCAGCTCTTGGCGGGTAGAAAGGACACACTCGTTCTAACAGTCACCAGAAAGTCAGAGGCTCAGAGGCCGGCAGCCTGGAAGGAAACTGAGGTGAACGGGCTTACACTGCGGGTTTCACGGATGCACTGTACACAGCAACAGGGTGAGACGTTAGGAGTATCTGTTTCGAGGGCTGCGCAGCACAACGAGCCCAGGATCGGACCCAGACCGCAGTCACCCGATTTACAACAGAGGGGCCAGTGGAGTGAGTCTCCACTGTATGTGGTGCCAAGCAACTATCCACCTGTGAGAAAAGAAGGCCAGCCCTTAGCTCCCTTGTACATAAAAACTAACCTGAACAGGTTCACAGACTGAAACGGAAATGCTGGATCTATAAAGTTCTGGAGGAAAGCATAAACAAATCTTCACTAGCCTCATGAGGAAGCTCGATTTCTCAGGTGTAATAAAAAAGTAGTAATCATTTTGAAAGAGAGAAACTGCACTTCAAAATTGCAAGTCTCTTCCTCAAAGGCACCCGTCAGAAAATGAAAAGGCAAACCACAAGGGAGAAAAAAATATAATACAAATACGTGACCCAAACCCATCAAAAACTACAAATCATTAAGCAGAAGACAAGCAGTATGAATAGCATTGTTTCTTAAAATTGTTAGGCGCTTGGAAGATCAGAGTCAACAGGCAGGTGAGCGGCCGAGCCCTCACCCAGGAGGGAAGCCAGGTCAGCAGCGGGCACTCGCCAGGCCAAGCCAGCTGGGATCTCGAGGTATGGGGCAGCCGGTGGGACCTGCCGGCCATTTCTTACGAAGTTCCGCAATGTCAACCCCACACGCCAGCAGTTCTAACCCTGCAGACATCCAAGAGAAATGAAGACAGATGCCTACGTGGGGAGGCTGGTACCCAAACGCTCACAGCAGCTCCCACCACATGAGCCACCGCCGGGAGCAGCCCAGACTCACCAAGAGGCGAGCAGGTAAGCAAGTGGCGGTCACACAATGGAAGAGCAAGCCCTGACACATGCACCAGAGACACAGCAGAAACGGTGCCCAGGCAGAGAGGAGTGCCAGTCGCACGGCCCCCGGCACGCCGGCCGCAAGGGTGGGCCCGAAGCTGGTGGTGCTCGCGGGCAGCACGGTGAGGGAACTCCGCTGGCCCTGAGGCTAACTGCAAAGTGGATGCATTCATCCAGTTGTGATGCTTACCATTCAAGCTTACTATATATTACACTGTACGTGCAATTTACTAATTTAAAAAACTAAACTAAACTAAGAATAGTGAAAGTAAAAACCTTAACAATGATTTTCAAAAATTTTCCAGACACATTTGGCAGAAAGGTTAAAGTAGAAAGAATAAACATCAAGTGCTGGTGAGGACATAGAGCTTCCAGAATGCTCCTCCACTGGGCTGGTAGGAGCATAGCAAGGCTGAAGACTTTGGGATAACAACCAACAAATGAACGCCTACTCTATGCCTGCAATTACGCCTCCACGCTTTTAAGCCGGAAGAAATCTATGCCCGAAACATGGACAAGAATGTTGACAGCAGAGTATTCACAACAGGCAAAACCTGGAAATAAGCCAGATGTTCATCATAAGGAAATGGGGGAATTATCCATATATTGCCACCTGGAATTGAATGGATCATAGAAAAATACCAAATGTTTACCCCAAAGATAGACTATTTGGCTAAATTTCCCTTTCTCTATTCTAAAGTCAACAACAACAAAACAAAGCACACTTTGACACTCATCCCCCGAGGAGTCAGCTACCTGGCTGAGCAGAAGATGGGGCCACAAACAAAGGCAGTGGTCATTTTACTCTGTCTCAGACGAAATCCACAAAAACCCTACTGACCACAACTATCTTGCTTAATATAGTATTTGTCAGTCATAATCTGAACACTGACCCTTCTGAATATGTCCTGAAGCAAACACGCATGCATATCTAATATTATTATACTTTTAATACTTCAAGTATTAAGTTAAATATTTAACAGTGAATACCCAGAAATGAGGGTGACAGACTGTCCATCAGCTAAGAGAATTAACTAATACAATTATTTAAAATACTCAGATTCTAACACTTAGAATAAGCAAGAAAGAGTATAATTTTGGGGGAAGAAAAATTTAGACCTTGATGTAGCCATGACATTCAAACGAATCAGTTTCATTACTTGTTTGAAATCTGGTTTAAGATTAATGAGGGAAATTTAATGTTATGACTAAAATGTAATGCATTCGTATTGTCTGTCGCCTTCATTTCCTCCCTCTTTCCCATCCGTCAGGGGATGGTATACAAATGTAAAGGCTGTCAATGATGCTGTACACGCTCATTTGCTAAAACACTGACAAAATGCAGACTGATCGCTGCTTCCCTACTTGAGTCCAAAACACAATTCCACTCAAGCAAATATATTCTAATTAAATTTAGTTCAACCCAAGTGTTTCTTAAGAACATCAACTTAAATAACATTGTGTCAAGAAAGAAACTCTTACTCTTTGAAAATAAAAGGCAAAACTTGGAAGAAAATGTAACCTCTCACAACATGGGGAATTTTTTCCAATACCCTTTTATTATTCCATTTAGAACATTAAATTTTTAAAAATCATAATATCATAAAATGGCCATGACGGATGGGAAAGAGGGAGGAAATGAAAGCGACAGACAACACGAATGCATTACATTTTAGTCATAACATTAAATTTCCCTCATTAATCTTAAACCAGATTTCAAACAAGTAATGAAACTGATTCGTTTGAATTTCATGGCTACTAATTTTGTTAATGATCTATCTCATTTTAGCTATGACAAATGCCCAAAATGTTCACCAAAAAGCAACTCCAGTTTGAAGAAAGGTAAACAGTGAGAAACAATGAAACCCTTCTTAATCCGCAGGCTGCCTCCCGCGGCCCGCCAGCCCACTGCCAGCCCACTGCCAGCCCACTGCCAGCCCACTGCCAGCCCACTGCGCAGCAAATGGCCCTTCCTCCCTGAGGGAAGAAAGCGGCAGAGAGCCGCCCTCCCCAAAGCCTCCCTTCAGGGACCGACGCGTCTGTAACCCAGACGCTGGCCACTTCGAGGACCACAGCCTTTCAGGATGTTCCTTTTTCCTAAGGAGGTTGTTATGCTTTTAGTTACTAGCTGAAGAAAAAAATAAGCCTTCAGATACAATTTTACTGCCTCGGAGAAAATCAAGCTGACTATAACTTTCTTTCTAAAGACATTCTATAGGCCGCAAAATCCAACTGCTGCATCCCAGCAGAGTGGGAACTTCAATTATGAGAACCAGAGACTCAGAATTCCTTAAAAGGAGGACTCAACAGTCCATGTCTAGAAAGTCCTACTAGGTGATTTCAGAGTGCCAAGTCTGACTGTCTCTAGCGTGTCAACCACGAATGTCTCTTGACATTCGTGAAGTTCTGGAATGGTCTCCAAGGTGCCCCAACAAGCCTGAAGACAGCCGCCTGCCTGCGTGGGCAGCCAACAATCCACAGAGCAAAGTGCATTGTTCCAGAAAAAATTCCTGCTTGACTTGGAGAATGAAGACTTAAAATAATTCAAGATACTATTTGGCAAAATATGTCCTTTTATATGCCCTGGCGTGACCAACTCACCTTCACCATCATGAATTTACCGAGCCACGCTTCCAAACTTCACAGGCAACAACTGCGTACCTCACACAGCCCGCCACGCACAGGCGCGGAATAAGCCAGGCGAGAATTAATGGATTAACAGAGAAGAGACACAGGCCTCTGGATGTGCCGGCGTGCACGAGTCAGCGCGCGCACAGACACACACTGCATGCCCCGAGGTCTAGAGACGACGACGCCCCGTAACCACGACACAGCCAGCCCCTGATCCTGACTTCTGAGCTCCGGATGCCATTCTGCAGTGAAAGGAGCAGGGAAATGGCTGCCTGGAGGGAGGGCTGAGGCGGGGAAAATAAAAGAGGAAGCTGGAATGATCTTTGTTGTGCCCAAAAGGAAGCAAATGCTCAAATCTGCACTTGTAACTCTTCTATCTCACGGCAGAAGTTGTGTTGACGAGTGGCAGAAACCCCCTTGCCAGGAGACTGTCCGTGGACAAGTCACGACTGCCACTCCCCTGCTCGCCCCAGCCTGGTACTCCTTCATCTCCAAAAGCACATCCAGGGCGGGGCGGGGGCAAACAGAGAAGCAAGTAGCCAGGGGTTAGTCACACAATTAAATCATACCGTGCAAAATTCAAGCTTTTTACCAGTTCATCTAACACGCGGTTATTTTTCAGGTCCGGCTCTGTGACCGTCTAGAAAAGAAAAACAACAGATGGAAAAAGGTCAGAAATAATAATTAACTTGTCATACTCTTGTTTTTGAAAATGTGTGCAACTGTCCTCCAGAGACTCCCCATCCCGCTAAGACTTCCAGGAAAGCCTCAAAATAAAATGCGCTTATCTCAAACGAACATGGAATTTTAAATCTGCTGACGGAAGTCTGATCAAAGCTCTCAAAGCATGAGATAAAAATCACAGTCCCCACTGACTCGGAGAAAACCTAATATGAGCAAGAATCTTTCTTCAAGGTGCCAGCACTCAGCTTTCCCCCAAATTTCTCCTGAAAAGCAGAAATGAGCCGCTCCGCTGAGCGACACTACCTGGAGGGGCTTCAAGTGCCAGAGAGAATTTAAACAAGCTGAGCAGGGCGCCCGCTTCTCCCTCTCTGTGGGAGGAAGGCTGTGGGAAGCGCCACCCTGGCCCCGGGGCCTAGCCGGCCTCAGCCACAGTGCAGGCGCTTCCCTGCAGCCCCAGGGCTGCAGCTTTCTGAGTTTGCTGTGGCTGGACCAGTGAAGGAGGCGAACTGCTGCAGGAATCACGGTTCCACGAAAGATCCTGAGATGAGGAAAGCTGGTCTTTCAGAGTGCAAAGTGAGCTTGAAACAGAATTTCTCTGGCTGACTTCCATGAAAGTCACGACCTGTGCGCCTGAACAGAATCATTGGGGCTAAGAGTGTGTCTCCTGACAGATAAACAAATACAGAGAGAAAACAAGATCATAGAGACCACGTCGGTCTTCAGGCGCACAGAGGAAATGGCACACCCGGCAGGCATTCAGCGCGACCCGCCAGCTCCCTCCCTGGCACCACTTGGTGCTGGCAGTACTGGGCAAGCCATAAGGAGCGCAACCTGGAGCAGCTTATTTCTCACAGTAATTCAAAGTTCCATGACACCACGCGCCTCAGAAGAGCCCAACCAAAACCCAAACTCTTCCACTGGACTAGCGCCCTTTTTTGTTTTTTTAAAGATTTACTAACTTCTTCATGCTTAAGGGGAGTTGAGAGGATTCACCAAGACAGAGCGGGGCGCAGAACAGGCAGGCGGACTGAACTCCACTGCTGAGGGGGCGGGGGAGCCACGAGGGGCCTGCTGCTCCCCGGGGTCCCTCCCTGGCGCAGGGGCTGCGCTTCACCCGCTGCGCCCCGGGGCCCTGGCCTCCGTCCCCTCCGCTAGCCCTACTGCCTCTCCTCGCCCGTCAGTGCTGCTTCTGCATACTCTCCCTTCTCCCCTACCATTCATTTCGCCTCTTCACTACTTGAAGTGCTTGAGGAACACAGTAACAAATCTCTGAGTTTTTCTTGAAGGTGTGGGCTGGGAAAGGGGTACAGGGACAGCCAGGCTGGGCCACCAACCTTCCCTTTCTGCAAAAACACTGGCAGCGGGCACTGGCCACCAGCGGGTCCTTCCATGGAGTCCAGGCAAGAAATGATAAAAAAACAAGAACCTGGAAAACGTCGGTCATGAGATCTAACAGTGCGACATCCTGGGCTTAAAATGAGTTTCTCCTCCTCAGACACATTTGGGTTCTCAGAAATCTAAGTGAAAATCTGAACAAAGCCCAGTTCTCCAGACCTACCTCTGACCGGTACTTTGGGAAACGCCCTCACACAGTCACGCATACACAGCTTCCCTGGGCTTCTCTGCACACGTCAGACAGAAACATTCGCACCAGTGATTTTAAAAAGGGAAGAAAAAACTCACCACACGACAAGTTGGACATTGTGTTTTGTAGGACAGAAATTTCCTTATACAGAGGGAGCAGTCTGCAAAAACACGAAGGTAACGACATCGTTAGTCCAGAAACATGCATAACACAATGCATGGTATCAAAACTACAATATTTGGCTTCGAACAAAGACTGACCCAAGTCCTGGCGCACGGTCTTGGCCTAAGGCACGGCACCGCTGCTCAGCCCCTTCGCGGGTGGGGAGGGGTCTGAGCAGAGGGCATCCATCCCGGCCCCCAGCCCAGGGCAGCAGGGCTCCAGCGGCATCTCCCAGGGGCACATGCCGGGACCGTGTTGGTCAGCCCTGGGCAGGCGTGCGACCCAGCCTGGCCCCGCTGACGATCCAGCGGGCTAGGAAGGCGACAGTAAGGTTCAGACACAGACTCGGGGAGAGCGCCCAGCAGGGTGACCACAAGTCCAGTTCTTTGGGAAATAGAAATGAATGGGGGGGGGCTTTCAGCTTTGTCAAAAGGGAAATCACAGAAGTCCTCACTCCAGCTGAAAACAAGTGAAAAGCTCAACAGGTTGAAACGCCAAGAACTCTTCTCACGACGGGGCGACTACCAAGGGGTGGCGACAACGTGGAGGCGAGAGCCTCGCACGCCGTCGGTGGGAAGGTGGCTGGCACGGAGCAAACAGCTGGAAGTCAAAGCTAGCACAAAAATCAAAACTGCGACTACCCATGACCCCGCAATCCTCTCCTCAGCATTCCGAGAGGGCCACCAAGAGCGTTTCCAGGGGCGCCCTGTGCGCGTGACTGCGGCAGCCACTGCGGGGCAAGCCCAGAGCGGGCCGCAGGTGGGCGGACAGGAGCCGGGCGGGCTGCGGCGGGCAGGAAGGCGTCCTGTGGTGCTGCCCGTAGGCGCTCGAGAGCGGCGAGCGCGAAACAGCAGCCCACGACCAGCGGACGCAAACCGTCTGGCCTTCGCCAGCCCGGGAGGGAGGGAGGGTGGGGCCGGCTGGCGGAGCTGAGCTCACGCGGCCCAGCGGGCGCCTCAGGCCAACAGTCTCTGCGGGACCTGAGAATGCGCACTGTGTCGGTCACGTTTATGACCCCACCTCGCCTCCCCCCAAAAGGGCCCGAGTAGAAGCCTTCGACCACACCGCGTCACAGCAGGGACACAATCTGAGGCGGCAGCAGGAGGCACCTTGGCAGTGGCAGCCAGCCTCGCCGCAGGTAGCCCTAAGGGGCCAGACACCGGGCGGCCCACTGGCAGCGCACGCCCTCGTGGGCCTGGGCGGCAGGCTGGGAGCCGCTGGCGGGGCGTCGGGGAGGCAGGCCCGGGCGCTCCTGCGCACAGACACCGCACACTGTCTCCGTGGGCTGCGCTGGGCAGACCCCAGGCCTGTCTTTGTCTCGTGATGAATTAGCCTCGCCCCAAACATTTTATTTCTTTAATTTTTGACTTCTGTTGTGACACTCAAACCCGGTCCAGTAATACAAAGTATCTTCTTTCTAGCCTTAGTCTATAAGGTATTTGTTTTTAACTTTAAAAAAGAACATTGATTTTTTTTAAGATTTATTTATTTAGGCACATAAGGACTGGGGTTGAAACGGCCTCGCTGCTGTCCTGGTAATAAAAATTCTGAAATTCAACACTTGAGAGTTTCACAAATACAAAACTGTATTTGGTAACAAAAATAATTACTGCCATAAATGTGTAAGGGGCACAAAAACATCCAAAAAGGAGGTGGTAGAAGACACAGGAGCCTTGCAAAAAAGTTCTACATTCAAGAAGGAAGTGGAAAATCTACCTCCTGAGAACTCCAAGATAGAAGCAGTCAAGGTCAGAAATAAAACTATGGGCGGTCTCTGGTGCTAGATCAGTGCCAGGCAAAACCCACCTCCCACTCGCTGCAGAACACTGCATACTTACAGTTATGCGAGCACTGGGGGATCATCATGGCGATGTTGAAATATTCGAAGCAGATTCCACACCGCAGCAGGTCGTCCAGCGTCTGAAAGGCAGAGGCGAGCAGCTGAGGCTGGGGCTCGCCGCTCTGCGCGGCCTGTTCCTGCTAACGGATAACGCCGGACGCGCCTGTGCAAACGCTCACTCCAAAGCTAACTGCAGGGTCGCGCACAGGGAGGCCGCCGGGTCCTCACCCGCACGCCTCAGCCGCCCGCCCGCCCCAGCCGCTCGGCTCCTGCCCACTTCCCGATTGTTTCCGGTGCGGACCCCCCTCTCCTCCCTCTGTGGACCCCATTTCCAGCCTGTGGTCCCGGGGTGTGTGTGTGTGTGAAGGCCCCAGGACAGCCACCAGCGAGCATAATGCTGAGCACCACAGCCGCCCGCTCCACCCTCACTTCACAAACCCGGAACTCGGGTCAAGCAGACGCGCCTGCTGGCCTGACTCAGGCCAGGCGTCCACCCCCTGCCCCACGGCGGTCAGGCGTCTTTCTGTACAGCACACGTCAGGGCAGGCCACTCCCCGGACAGCCCGGTGGGCCCGCGGGAGAGAGCGGAGGGGAGGGGGACGGCGCCAGGATACAGCCCGTGGCAGAGGATGTGTTCCTGGCCTGCGTTTTTCAAGCCGCCTGAAACCAGGTGTGACCACGTGGTGGAGTACTGAGCGGACACGCAGCAAGTGCCCGCTGGGGCCTGGCCCAGAGAGACGGCCGAGGAAAGGAAGGAAGGCAATGAGCGGCGACCGTCTGAGCTGTGGCTTATCCTTGTTGAAAAGTGAGGGGGATAAGGAAATATTCTATTTTTATCTTGTATATAAATATATAAAAAAGTTCTGAAAAGATATGTCAGGAAATAATAATATTCAATAGCTGGTCACAGGGGTCAGGAAACAGTTAATGGAAGAGGGGGGAGACATTTACTATTTTTTAAGATTTACTTATGCATAAGAACTGAGGTACAGGCCAGAGGTGCAGGATTCACCAGAGGCAGAGTGGGGGGCAGGACAGGCCGACTGACGAAGCACACTGCTGAGGGAGCAGCGGGGAGAAGGAGAGGTCTGCGGCGCCCTGTGGGTCAGCTCCGGGGCGGGGACTGAACTCGCCCCAAAGCTGCGGCCAGCGTGCAGTGCTGTGTCCTTACCCCCTGTGCCACCGGGGACGGCCTGAGACATTTACTTCTTATCTCAGGACCTAGATTTCAAAAATACAAACTACAAAAAGACATGCCACCAGTAGTTCCAGATGACGGAATTAAGTAACCACTTACACCCAGCTTTCAAACAATAATTAATGCCGGGGAAACTGAAAAAGCCAGACAGCAAATCTGCAACGAAAACCCACCGGAGGGGCCCAGGACTGATCACCGTAAGTGTCCTCTGACGCCTAAGGCCTCGAAGCCCCGTTTACAGACGAAGTTTACGGCGCTCAAAATGGCTGCATCCAACCCAGAGAGGTCAAAGCAAAGTGAGCCCAGGCTGCAAATACACGCACACAGCAGAGAAACTGGAGGGAAATGAGCCAGAACCGTTTTCTCTGGATGGTAGGCTGCAACGTGCACATCTTCTTTTACCTCACTAAAATTTTAGTATCTTTAACTACATACACATACTACGTTTATAATCTGTAAAAGCAGAAGCTTGTTATACAAAAACCAGGAAATCAGCAAAGTGCCAAAACCCTGGCTACTCTGGATGCCGAGCTGCCATCACAGAGAGCCGCGGGCCTCTGCTGGTGGGGAGCGGGGCGACGGGACCAACATCCTGGTCTGGAGGGCCCAAGTGGATGCCCCAGATTTACATCTTTAAATTAGCGGAGAACACGGCGGGGTGAAAGGATGAGCAAACAGAGCAGAGGTCCTTCAGGACTCCGGGTCACGGCCCCTCTGGGAAGACGGGTGAAAGCTAAGGACTTCCTTCTCAGAAACATGCAAACCAGGAAAACATCTTCCGAGCCACTGCACATGCCACGCCCACCGGACCCCACGAACTGTGACGGAGTCGAGGCTCTAGCGGCCTGAAGGTGTCACACAGCACTCTGCCCTGGGAGCCCCAGGACAGCGGGGATCCAGAGGGGATGCGGCGGGGGAGCCGGCTCTCCGGTGTGAAGCACAAGCCCCTGACACAACAGCCCGCACCTCCTGGCGATGGGGTGCCGAGCCGGAACCGCCTCTAAAGAAGGCAGAACTGGGGAGGTGTGGGGTGTGGAAAAGCACCCCCCTAAGGCGGGCCGCCCTGGAAAGGCCACAGCCGCCCACTCCGTTATGCCAAGCAGTCCCACAGAGAGGGCCGGGACTCTGACATGTCAGTGGGGTCCCTGGGCCAGGCCCCTGCATGGCATGGACCCGCCTGACCGCGCCCCCGCGAGCCCTGTCGCTCTGCCCCCAGTCTACTGTGACACAGAAATGAAGTTCGCGCTCGGAGACACTGAGCCCGTGACTCAGAATCGCAGTAGCTGGGAGGAGGCCAGCTGCATCCGGGCCACTGCCCTGGGTGCCAGGCCGGTCACCTTCAAAACCCAGTCTTCCCGGGCCTCCCACTGCCCCACCTTTCCTCCAGGGGCACCTCAAGTCCCAGGCACTGCGGGGGAGGCCGCAGGAAGCACAGACAGCCCCAAACTGGCGGCAGCGCGGAGCAGACGGCAGAGCGCCCCGCCAGTCTCAGGCAGAGACTCCCCCGAGGCCGAGCCGCCAGGCTGGGAGGCCACAGCCGGGGGCGCTCGGGT